TTCACAATCGCATATGCTATGTGATAAAAATCGGATTTATGCGCAGATTTTGCAATTGCAGATTTTCACTAGCCCTACCCTAAACCCTTAAAAAAGTGCACCCCAAAAATTTGTATTTTTCGGTGGCTTGTCTATTTTACAATATCTTATTTCATTTTAATCTGATTTCATTTTAATCCGTCACAATAAATGATACTCCTTACTATAAAACATGCTCTTCAAATAATCACTTTAGACCAGTATCGGAAATCACCATATTGTCACGAAATAACGCACCCCGACACGTTATTTTGAGTATAGGTGTGTTATTTAGAGTACGCGCCGGGGTGTTATTTTTGAAACAAATATAAACTTTTTAAGTAAACAAAAAAGTGCTTTGGAAGTATTCCGAAGCACTTTTTTGGGATGCGAGACGCGCTGGGGCGTTATTTTGAAACCATATATATTATTTTTAGGGTACGATTTTTTAAATAACTGTTATTTCGCGACAATACAGCACATGTTCACAGTATTCACAAAAACATAAATTTTTTTAACGTTTACATTTGTGAACATAAATAATTTTTATCTAATTAATAATATTTTATTTATAATCATTATTTTTTTTAATGTGAACACAAAAATTATCATACTGTCTTATGAATTTCCAACACTGCTTTAGACGTCCCCCATTTTTGGACTGCAATTATTTTGATTTTTATAACTAAATATATATATATATATTGAATATAAATAAAACACTCATGTAACGTGACTAAGATGTGATAATGTACACCAGGCTTTTTTTTTGAAATACTCAAACGGTATACAAACAATATCTCTTAAAAAAACAAAAACCTATAAAATACCAAATATATCTGCAAGTAGATTAAAATGTCGATATCTAATATTTTACAGAATAAAGAAAACAGCTTATTGTTGTTCTTCAAACATCTTTTTGATTAATGCTGTTGAGTAAGATTTTGGTCTTTCAATAGGAAAACCTCTGTAATGCAGTAAAGTCATGTTAATGTACGAAAAAACGAATAAATTAGTTATAAAGAAGTACATACAAAGCTCTATCCCAAATTAACTGACTTAAAACACCTAAAGATCTTGAAACACCAAAAAGTACAGTATAATAATTTTGCTCAACTAGGCCGTAATACTGTAATAATATACCAGAATGTGCATCGACATTAGGCCAGGGGTTTTTCGTTTTACCGTGTTCAAGTAACACATCAGGTACAATGTTGTATAGTTGTGATACGAGCTTGAAAAGAGGATCATTTGGAAGATGTTTTAACGCGAATTCACGTTGCGCCGTGTACCTTGGATCCTAAAATATAGATAGGTTACCAATCATATTAATAAATACAGTCAGACCTTCCTAAATGCATAGTCTATGAAAGACCTCTCTAAATGCATGGCTTTATTTGACCCCAACTCATATAACACTTATAGATCTTTACCTCCCTAAATGCAAGATTTTTTGGCCGCCCCTCGGCTATGCATTTAGAGAGGTCTGACTGTATAATAACTTAGGAATATATTAAACTCACCGTTTTACGGAGAACAGCATGTCCATAACCTGGGACTACTTTTCCTGATTTCAAAGTATTCCAAACATATTCTTTAATAGTTTCGTCGGAAGGTGATTCACCAACGGTATCCCTCATTTTAAGAATCCAACGAACTACTTCCTGGTTGGCGAGACTATTTAAAGTCCAATCTTTAGCATATAAGTATTCATACAAACTTTTCATAAAAATAAGCCATCTTTTGGATAACAAACTTACCCATGTAATGGTCCAGCCAAACCATTTAGAGATGCCGAAAATGCAAGAAATGGATCGGAAAGTGCACTTCCTACTAATCTCTGTAATAAATAAATGTTGTGATTAAATGTTATTTTTAAATGTGAATTTTATATAATTACCATCGTATGAGCCGATACGTTTCCACCCTCATGGTCAGAATGAATTGTAAGATAAAGTCTCAATAATTCCACGAATTCCTTATTATCGGCATATCCTAAAATTTTTGCAAAATTATACGAATAATCCTGGTCTGGCTCAATTGGTGGCACTTTGCCATCTTTATAAACATTTCTATAAATTCTTCCTGCCACATTAGGCAGCTTAGAAATCAAGTCCATCGCATCCTCGTACAAGTATAACCAGTATTCATTCTTATTAACGCCAGTCTGATAGGCTTTTGCAAAATTCGAATCGTGCTGTAGAGCTGTAACAGCCAATGAGAATTGAGACATCGGATGTAGAGTATTTGGACATCTGTCAATGAGGTCTTCAACAAATGAAGGAATCGCCGAACGAGAAGCCAATTCAGCTGAAAGTACGCGAACTTGCTCCTGAGAAGGAATTTCACCCGTTGCCAAAAGCCAAAAAAGACCTTCAGGCAACGGTTCTTTACCAACGTGTGACTTTGGAAGCAGTTCTCGGCATTC